AACTTGACAGTAGATTATTTACCATTATATGGGTGTGTGTTTTAGTATTTGTGTACAATAATTATGCATCAACATATATATATATGTATATATATTTCAAATATGAGGCAAACACATAGCTACACCAAGTAGTATGTGCTTTAGGATGGTGATGAACAAATATTCCATCTCTTATTCTTGTTAGTTGCCATCAAGTTGCCTCCAGGTCATGGTGACCTTCTGTATAACAGAACAAAACATTGCCCAGTCCTGTGCCATCCTTGCAATCATTGGTATGTTTGAGCCCATTGTTGCAACTATTATGTCACATTATCTCATTAAGGATTTTTCTTGTTGCGTCCAGGATAAGAAAGCCCACTTCTCACGCCAAGTCCGCATAGTGGAAATCTTACAATCCTGCTATTCTGTTCCAACTGTAAGGGTATAACAAATCCACAGTTTCTACTTCTCTGTTCATTTCTGACACCAGGTATTCACAAAGTACTTGTCTCTTTGACACCTGCCATCTAGGATTAGGTCAGATCTCATCAATTAAAAGGACTCCGTCCTTCAGACTGCCACATAGGCAGATGCCAGCCACAAGCTCAAGAGTGCACACAACACCCTTACTTCTGATGTGCTGGCTGGCTTCAACTTCTGGAGTTTTCCCATTGCCCCTTCTGGGTGTCAGCAGCAAGCTCGTTGGCCTTCTCTGGACTTCAAATTTCACCTGATGGCTTGGAGTACTCCTTTGGGTTCAGTAATTTGCTAGAATGAAGCACAGAATTCATGGAAATTGCTATACTTATGATTACAGATTTATTTATAGCAAAGGATCCACATGAAGAAGTACATGGAATGAGGTATGGGAGGGTCCCCAGTGCAGGCTTCCATGTCCCAAAATGGTACACTACCCTCCCACATATATTGATATCTTTACCAATTAGGAAGATAATGGAACATACATGTCCAGAGGCTTTATTGGCATCATCACATAGTCATGATTGAGGCCTCACTGCATGTGGATGATTGAATGAATCACGTTCCCCTCACATTTTTGATCATAGGCTTGGTGGTCTTTCTGGCCTGGCCAGTCCCTCTTCATTTGCACAAATCCCTGTTCATTTGCACAAAACAAAAGACACCTCGCTCACTTGAAAATTCTCAGTGTTACCTATCACTAACTGACCACAAAGGCCAGATTGCTATTCATTACCTAACACTCATTTTCTCTGACCCTCTACCAAACTGGATGTCCTCATAGAGAAATTGTGTTTCCTGATGATGTGTCCAAAGTCAGCAAGAAGTCATGCCATCCTCACTTCTAAGACCATTCTGACTGTACCACCTCCAAGACTGATTTATTTGTTCTTCTGGTAGCCCATGGTATATTCAGTATTCTTTGCCAACATCGCAATTCAAATGCATCAGTTCTTTTTCAGTCTTGCCTTTTCAGTGTCCAGTGTCTATGCAATGCGGTAATTAAGAAGATTGTGGCTTGGTCAGGCGCACCTTAGTCATCAAAGTGACATCTTTGCTTTTTAAAACTTTAAAACAGTGCTAATTAGGCCACCCAGGGACCTCATACCTGCCAGGGCTTTATGAACTTCCAATGAGATAATGTTAGCCAAAGAATTTAATACTTTAAGAGTTCTTTAACAGTAACAAAGAAGCCTTCATTATTATTATTCCTGTATTTCTTCAGTGCGAACAAAAGCAAGCCTTTGATTTTTAATTAATATAGGAATTCCACAATTAATGGATTCATTGAGTCAGTCTCAGATAGAATTCAGGCAGTCTCTGGGTTATTTATGTCCAATTTAGGGACAACTAGTACTTGCTCTTTAATGTTATGTAAATTTACCCTCACTGAAATTATTGAACCAGCCCCTACTTGCAACAAATTCTTCATCACAGTCACCTTCACTTGATGCACGTGCAGCTTTTAAATAACTTCTTTGATTTCTGCTTCCATGGACATTGATTATTGATCCAATTAGAATGAAATCCTTGACAACTTCAGTTTCTTTGTCATTTATCATCATGTTGTTTATTGATCCAGTTGTGAGGATTTTTGTTTTTTTAATGGTCAGATGTAATATATATTTAGCGTGTAGTCTCTACCTTCATCAGTAAGTACCTTCAGTCACCTTGACTTTTTCCAAGTAAAGTTGTATTGTCTGCGTATCACAGGTTGTTGATGAGTCTTACTCAAATCCTTATGCTGCTTTCTTCATATAGTCCAGTTTTGGATTATTTGCTCAGCATACAAATTGAATAAGTATGGTGAAAGGATACAACCCTACTATGTACCTTTTCCAAATTTGAAACCACGTATTGTCCCCTTATTCTTTTTGAATCACTGCCTCTTGATTCACATGCAAGTTCCATATGTGCATAATTAAGTGTTCTGGGATTACCATTTTTTGTCATGTTATATATAATTTGTTATCATCTACACAGTTGAATGCCTTCTTGTAGTCAATAAAATATAGGTAAACATCTTTCCTGATATTCTCTGATTTGGACCCAGATCCATCTGATATTGGCAGTGATATCCTCCATTTCACATCCTCTTCTGAATCTGGCTTAAATTTTTGGACATTTCTGTTGATGTACAGCTGCAGCCAATTTTAAATTATCTTAAGCAAAATTTTGCCACCATGTGATATTAATGATCTTGTTTGATAATTTCCACTTTCCGTTTGATCGCCCTACTTTGGAATGGGCACAAATACAGATCTGGCCCAGTTGGTTGTCCAGGAACCTTCATCTAAATTTCTTGACATAGCCAGTAAGTGTATCCAGTGTTGGATCTGCATGTTAAAGCATCTCAGTTGGTATTTCATCAGTTTCTGGAGCCTTGCTTTTTCACTAGTGTCTTCAGTGTAGCTTGAAGTTCTTCCTTTGGCAATGATGGTTCTTAATCATATGCTGCCTCCTGAAGTGGTTGGATGTTCACCAATCCTTCTTAGTACACTGACTCTGTTTATTGCTTCCATCTTATTTTGTTGCTTACTTCATCAATTTTTTGCCCATAGAATTCTCCAGTAAATGCAACCCGAGGCATGAATTTTCCCTTTAGTTCTTTCAGCTTGAGAACTGTTGATTGTGTTCTTCCCTTTTGGTTTTCTAACTCAAGGTCTTTGCATGTGTCATTATTACATTTTACTTTGTCTTTTTGAGCCTCCCTCTGAAATACTGTTCTGCTCTTTTACTTCATCATTTCTATGTTTACTTTCACTGCTATGTGCTTAAGAACAAGTTTAAAGTCTCTTCTAGCATCCATTTTGGCCTTTTCTTTCTTTTCCTGTATTTTCAATGACCTTTTACTTTCTTCATGTATGATGTCCTTGATGTCATCCTGCAATTTGATCATTGGTCATTAGTGTTCAGTGCATTTAATCGGTCCTAGAGGTGGTCTCCAAATTCACATGGGATGTACTTAAGGTCATACTTTCGCTCTCGTGCAGTTGCTTTGATTTTCTTGAGCTTCAATTTGAACTTGCATTTATGGTCTCTTCTGCAGCCAGTGCCTGACTTGTTTCTAACTGATAATACTGAGCTTATTTCATCATGTCTTTCCACAGATGCAGTTGATTTGATTCCTGTGTAAAACAGCCAGTGATATCTACATGGCTAGTCATCGATTTTATTGTTGGGAAAAACTATTTCTGATGAACAAGTCATTTTCGCAGAAATCTTTCATTCTATCTGCACCATTCCTGTCATCAAGGTTGTATTTTCCAACTACTGTTTCTTTTTCATTTCCAACTTTTGCATCGCAATCACTGGTAATTATCTACACATCTTGATTGCACATTGGTTAAATTTCAGACTGCAGCATTTTGTAAGCATCTTCAATTTCTTCATCTTTGTGATTTGTGGTTGATACATAAATTTGAATAATAGCCATATTAACTTCTCTTCCTTGGCGGCATCTGGATATTAACCTGTCACTGACAGTATTGTACTTCAAGAGAGATACTGAAAATATTCTTTTTGATGATCAGTGCAACACCATTTCTCTTCAATTGTTTGTTCCTGGCATGGTAGAACATGTGGTTGTCAGAATCGAAATGGCCAGTAGCAGTTGCTTTCTATTCATTAATGCCTAGGATATCTATCTTCAAATGTTCTACTTCGTTGACGACTTTCAGTATTTTCTTGATTCATACTTCATACAGTTGATGTTCCAATTAGTAATAGATATTTGCAGCTGTTACTTCTCATTTGGAGTCGTGCCACATAAGCAAATGAAGGTCCTGAAGACTCTACCCTGTCTGTGCCATTAAGGTTGAAGTGGCGCAGTGGTTAAGAGATCAGCTGCTAACCAAAAGGCCAGAAGTTCAAATCCACCAGCTGCTCCTTGGAAATCCTCTGGAGCAGTTCTGCTGTGTCCTATAGGGTCACTATGAATCGGAATCAACTTGACAGCAATGGGCTTTTTGGTTTTGGGTACTTATAGGAGGCAGGTCTTCCCTAGTCATAGTTTGAGTGGTTTCTAACCCCAGGGGATCATCTTGCAACACTAATCTCTGACAGTAATCTTTTGTTATCTGTAAGATTTCTATCAGCTAATTTTTAGAAATAGATCACCAGGCCCTTCTTCCTTGTCTGTCTTAGTTGCAAAGTTATGCTGAATGCTGTCTACCTTGGATGACCCTGCTCGTATTTGAAATACTGGTAGCATAGCTTCTACCATCATAGCAACACATAATCCAACACAAAATGCCACCACCTATCTGTTTCTTTTAGGGCTTACATTCGTTACATAGAATGAGTGGTATGGTCATGTGTATTTAACACTGAACTTTCCTGGAAATGGTATGAATTACATGTAATTATCCTTTCTTTATTGAGGAATCCTATTAACTTTGTGTTCCTAAACATTTGAAGACCAGAGTACAGAAGTTTAAAAATTCTCCTTATTATAACTGTTTCTGCTGGTGTAAAATTATGTTTTGGGATATAAAATACTTTCCAGCTGTTGTTAATAGGAAGCTTATGATTGTTTTTAGATGTCATTTCTACATGTGTGACCAAGGAAGTATCAACAAAAGAGATCATTAAGAAGGGAAAATTATTCCAGAAAGTGATGTTGGAAAGAAATGTAAGTCATGGCATCAAGGATTTTCACTTCAGGCAAGTCAGGGAAAATGTGCATGAGTTTGAAAGTCGGTGGGGAGAAGATGAAAGAAATAACAAAGGAGTGACTAAGGCCCATAACAAAAATTTCACTGGTAGAAGAGATCAACATGTTAAAAAAGATGCAGAAAACAAGTTTATGACATGTTTTAAAAATACAATTGAATTAAGCTTTCAGTCCCATGTGGCTGAAATGCAGAAATTTCACACTGGAGAGAAAATGTATGAATGTCATCAAGAGGAGACGTCTGTCAACAATGGATCTTCAATTCCATCCCTTCGAAGATTTCCTCCTAGTGTGCAAAGTAACATTTCTAATGAATGTGGGGAGGTTTTCCTGCATCCTACATTGTTTATACAACAGAAAACCCACAGCAGAGAAAAACCTTACAAATGTGGGAAGTCAGTCAGCCAGAGGTTAACGTATACTAATCATCAGAGAAGTCATTGTGTACAGAGACCTTACGAAGGTAATGAGGGTGTCAAAACCATTGACTGTGGCTCAGACCTCACTAAAGATCACAGAATCCACACCGGAGAGAAACCATGTAAATGTAATGTGTGTGGCAAGGTATTTAGTATACGATTAAGCCTTAGAACCCATCAGAGATTTCATACTGGAAAGAAACTTTACAAATGTAACGAATGTGGTAAGGAATTTACAAGACGTTCAAACCTGTGGCGTCATAAGATAATTCATAGCAGAGAGAAACCTTACAAATGTAAAGAGTGTGGTAAAACTTTTAACCGTGCTTCACACCTCATTACACATCAGAGAATCCATAATGGAGAGAAACCATATAGATGTAATACATGTGGCAAGATCTTTAGTCGACATTTAGGCCTTAAACGTCACCAGACAATTCATAGTAGAGAGAACCTTTACCAGTGTAATGAGTATGGTAAGGCATTTACCCAAAAATTAATTCTAGTTCAACGTCAGCAAATTCACAGAGTAGAGAAACCATACCAATGCAATAAATGTTGTAAGGCTTTTAGCCGAAAGTCAATCCTTATTAATCATCAGAGAATTCATTTTGGTCAGAGACCTCACAAATGTGACGAATGTGGCAAAACCTTTAACTGGGGCTCAAGCCTCACTAAACATCAGAGAATTCATCCTAGGGAGAAACCATATAAATGTAATATATGTGGCAAGATCTTTAGTCGACGTTCAGGCCTTACACGTCACCAGACAATTCACAGTAGAGACAAACTTTACCAGTGCAGTGAATGTGGTAAGGCATTTACCCAAAAATTAATTCTGGTTCAACATCAGCAGATTCACAGAGTAGAGAAACCATACCAATGCAATAAATGTTGTAAGGCTTTTAGCCGAAGGTCAATCCTTATTAATCATCAGAGAATTCATTTTGGTCAGAGACCTCACAAATGTGATGAATGTGACAAAACCTTTAACTGGGGATCTAGCCTCAGTAAACATCAGAGAATTCATACTAGGGAGAAACCATATAAATGTAATGTATGTGACAAGATCTTTAGTCGACGTTCAGGCCTTACACGTCACCAGGCAATTCATAGTAGAGAGAAACTTCACGAATGTAATGTATGTGTTAAGGCTTTTACCCGAAAATCAGATCTTTGGAAACACCAACAAATTCATAGTGGAGAGAAACCTTACCAGTGTAATGAATGCAGTAAGGCTTTTTCCACAAGCTCAAATCTGATGCGACATCACCAAATTCATAGTGGAAAGAATCTTTACAAATGTAGTGAATGTGGTAAGCCATTTACACAAAAATTAAGGCTACGTGAACATCAGCGAATTCATAGTGGAGAGAAACCTTACAAATGTATTGAATGTGATAAGGCTTTTTCCAAAAGATCAAATCTTGTGCGACATCAGCGAATTCATACTGGAGAGAAACCTTACAAATGTGATGAATGCGGTAAGGCTTTCACCCGAAAATCAGGTCTGTTGGAACATCAACAAATTCATAGTGGAGAGAAACCTTTCAAATGTATTGAGTGTGGTAGGGCTTTTTCCGGAAGATCACAACTTGTGAAACATCAGGAAATTCATAGTGGAGAGAAACTTTACAAATGTAATGAATGTGGTAAGGCATTTACCCAAAAATCAGGTCTTTTGGGATATCAACCAATTCATAATGGAGAGAAACCTTACAAATGTAATGAATGTGATAAGTCTTTTTTCCACAGATTAACCTTTCAGGATCATAAGAAAATTCATACTAGAGAGAAGCCTTAAAAATGTAATGAGTCCAGCAAGGCTTTTAGCATTCAGTCAATCCTTCAGGGTCATGAGAGAACTCATACTGGAGAGGAAAAATTACAAGTGTAGTAAGTGAAGTCAATTCTTTAAATGTGGCCCAAATCTCATGTTAGAGAATCCGTAATAGAGAGAAATCCTGTAAATGTAATATACATGCAAGGCATTTAGTGAAGGTAAAAGCCTTACATCTCATCACAGACTTCATACTAAATAAAAACCTTAGAAATGTTATTACCATATTTTTTTTTGCAAATAATGCGCACGTCTTGTGACATCTCCAGAGGTGAATTTCAGCCTCTTTCACCCATATTCAATTGTCTGAAAATGCTACTTTTGATAATATTTGTATAATAAAAGGTATAAGCTGTGGTCAAGAACTCATGGATCGAGTTTGGTAGTACCCAGTAATTGGAAAATAAAAAATTGAAACTGCATTTGCTCAGGGGCAGTTTGTGGCCAGGCCTGAGAGCGCTAGAGTTCCTTGTAGTTGACCTATGTCCAGGTACATCAGGTCAGAGACAGGTGGAGGGTTGGCTGGAGGGCTGCATGCAGGCCTGCAACAGCCAAAGCACGGGCTGGTACTCCAGTGGCTCGGGGCCCTTGTCCACACATACCCAGGTCCTACTATGCCAGCCCCATGCGACAGGACGATGTGGGTGTTGGCATACACTGCCCCAACCCTGTGGGGCCTCTGGGCAACCAGTCAGACCCATCTTGTCCAAGCGAGATGCATGACCCCTCTGTGCCTGTGGCTCTTGCACACATCTCGTGTCATCCATGTAGGTGGGCAATTCAAACAGCCTGAGCACGGCGGCCAGCCGGCTGGATGGTGGGGTGTAATGTGTGCAACTGCTACATGCCAGTCTTCTGCCTGAGTGGCCTCTCTGGCCTGGGGTGCGCAGACCTGCATACCTCCTGGGCTGGGGTCAGCCACCCTTGCAGAGGCTCCTTCTGTAGTGGAAAAAGTGATTTCTTCCTTTATTGGAGAAAGCAGTTTGCAAAACTGGAAAGGAATCCTGTGGGAAGAGGGGCTGCTTTAGAAACTTGAGGGTAGGTTGGTGAGGGTCTGCTGCTGGCAACCAAAGTTTTGTATCAACAGGCATCAAGATAGTTATATCTGCTGAACAAAAAATAATTGAAATTGAAGCCAGCAACTTGTTAAAACTACTGGTATAGTCCGTTTTTGAAAATAATGGGTTACACAGTATGTGAAAAACATAATGCATGTTATTTGTGTAAAAGTACAGTAATGTAGGCTTTTATGCAGATATTAAAAACTTCACAATTTAGTAAGTGGCAAAGCCTTTAAGCGGGGCTTACTCCTCACTATACAGGGAATAGTGAGGGAAACCATATAAATGCCCTGTATATAGCAAAGTCATTACTCAGAATTCAGTTTGAAAGTCATCTGAAAGTTTATGCTGGAGAGAAACCAGATTATTCTACTAGGAGACCATGAAACGGACCATGCCTGTGCTTTTAGACACAGATTTTCATGTGAGGAGAGGGGTAAGTTACTAGGGCCTGCTCATGTTTTAGAAATAACAGAGGGAAAATGATGGTCACTTTCTCATTTGAATTGCAATAGCTGTTGTATATCAAAGATTAATGAAAAATTAGTCTTGTTTTTGGAAACTGAAAAGAGCAGTTATCAGAGGGAGAATCAAAAGTACCAAAATGGAATATGTATGTGTTTGATTCATAAATAACCAGTGGCTTCATATTTTGGTACTGATTTATTGAGAATATAGGTCTCATGATCTGTTGTTTTATGCTCTTCAGGCAGTTCTGACTCATAGTGACCCTATAAGACAGAGTAGAACTGCCCCCATAAAGTTTCCCAGGCTGTATTCTTTACGGGAAGGGGCCCTGGTGGTGTAGTGGTTAAAGCGATCAACTGCTAACCAAATATTTGGCAGTTCAAAACCACCAGCAGCTCCGTGGGAGAAAGATATGGCAGTCTACTTTCGCAGAGATTTACATTCCTGGAAACCCTATGAGGACGCTATGAGTTTGAATTGACTTGAGGGCAATGAGTATTCCTTACAAGAACATCACCAGGTCTTTCTCCAGCAGAGCTGCTGGGTGAGTTTGAACCGCCGGCCTTTTGGTTAGCAGCCGTGTGTTTAACTGTTGCTCAGCCAGTTCTCCCATGATGTGTCATGTCTTTTAATTAGTAAAATTTAATCATTTTAATCATAACCCTTAATCACGTTCCATCTACGAACACAATCACATCTCACCTTAAGAAGTAAAGCTGTTACCTTGAGGACTATCGTGTCCCTGACCCAAGCCATGGTATTTTCAATCGCCTCATATGCATACGAAAGCTGGACAATGAATAAGGAAGACCAAAGAATTGATGACTTTGGATTATGGTGTTGGCAAGGAATATAAAACATATCGTGATACACTAACACAGTATTTTAATGTTTAAAGTTATGTTAAACCATCTGGAAATCATTTTTTAAATTCCATGATACATGAATTCAGTTTGTTTAAGGTTTTAAATAATAGCCCTACATCACTTACCACATAATTGAATCACTTTCACATTGGTAGAATAAACCCTGTTTAGCAATTCTGTGTCTTCTCAGGAAGACCATACAATCACAGTGCATTAAAATAGCTAATCCTTCATTTATATTCTTTTTTTGTTCTGATGTATATTTGAATTTAATAATATTTCATTTTCATTATTGTTATGGATTGAATTGTGTCCCCAAAAATATGTGTTTATGGTGAAAAGAGTTCCTTTATATGTTCTTTTGCCTTTGTTATTTGGAAAAACAGTTTAAGAGATTTTTCCAAGCCCTGAGGAGTTTCCTTTGCTATTGTTTTCTACCCCAGAGGGTTTGTTACATTTCCTGAGTAAGCTATAAGCAACTTGATGGTTTGATACTTTTTATCAGGCCTTAGGCGAAAGCCTGCTCTGTGATTGGTATGCACTTTGCAGAGAGTGGTCAATAGATTATGCAAATGAAGTGTCTATGGTTTACCGAGAAGGAATTGGGTCAGTTTGTGGACCCTGCTGGGAGGGGCTCATGCCTTGAAATTGACAAGAAGTGTTGTATATATGCAGCCAACCCCACAGAAGTTTTTCAGACAGTAGGAACAGAAGCAGCAGGAAGAAGCAGAAGGAATAAAGAGAAGTAGAGAGGGGAGGCAAGGCACATCCTAAAAGAGTTGTAACACAAGTCAAGGGCTGTAACACTGAAGAGAGCGAAAGGCCCAGAAGGGGCCCTGTGGTTGTCAGTGGTGACAGATGGCAGGGCCAAGAGGAGACTGACCTGAGGGGGCTGAGAGGAGGCATGCGTGGCTGAGAGGAGCTGAGAGAGTTGTCCTGCACTTAAGAAGGGAGACTGCATGCTTCTTGATCCTGAGTTGGACCCTGTTGATCCTGATCCCAAGCTGTATACTGTTTACTTTCTTAATAAACCACTTAACTGTAAGTACGGTCTGAGTCTGTGTGGCCGTTGCAACAGATTATCAAACCCAGAGGAGAAGTAGAGAGTGCTGTGGGAGGGACAGTGGGTGTCAGAATTGGTAAAAAGTTTGGAGAGTGGAGGTCTGTCTGACTTCCACCTTGTAGGAATCAGCTCTGGGCTGATCCTGGTCATTATCCCTCCTGAAGTTAGACACATTCTGATGCTACTATTACTAGTACCACTCCTTTACAATATTGTAAATCCTAACCCTGATACCTGTGGATGTAATCCCATTTGGGAATGGTATTTTCAATCATCCCATGTGCATGTGAAAGCTGGACAATGAATAAGGAAGACTGAAGAATAATTGATACATTTGAATTATGGTATTGGTGAAGAATATTGAATATACCATAGACTGCCAGAAGAATGAACAAATCTGTCTTGGAAAAAGTACAGTCAGAATGCTCCTTAGAAGCGAGACTTCATCTCACGTACTTTGGACATGTTATCAGGAGGGACCAGTCCCTGAAGGGCATCATGCTTCGTAAGGTAGAGGGTCAGCAAAAAAGAGGGAAGCCCTCGAGATGAACTGACAGAGTGGCGCAACAGTGGGCTCATACATAGCAACGATTGTGAAGAAGGTGCAGTACTGGGCAGTGTTTTATTCTGTTGTACATAGGACCGCTATGAGTCGGAACCAACTCAAGGACACCTAACAGCAACAGGGTACTTATAACAATGTAGTATTAGGTTATCATGGTTAAATAGCACATATAAAAATTTCTTTCCTTTATGGAGTTAAACAGTATACAATTCTTTGAATATGTACTCATAATTTGCACTTCAGGTATTCTCTCTGTTCTCTGTCCCTGGATATTAATGTGGCTACAATAGAAATACCAATACAGTGCAATTTCACAACGTGACTTCCTAAATCCTTTTTCTGTCCATGGATGTGCACTGTATAAGTCCCAATACCCTTGGTCATGGTGTAGGTTAATGTGTCCTTTTATATACTGTTGGATTCCATATGCTCATGCTTTTGGCGGTGTTTGCATTTTTTATCAGTAGAATACCGTGTTGCTTACTGTAGCTTTATACAAAGTGTTGATGTCTGTTATCAGTCCTCCAGTGGTGTGTTTCTTCTTCAGTGTTGTGTTATCTATTCTGGGTCTTTTGTCTTTATATATATCACATAAAAGATACTGGTCTGTAGTTTTCCTGTTTTGTAATGCCTGTTTGGTATTAGGGCACTACCGGCCTCATCAAATAGGCTAGGGAATATTTCCTCTGCTTCTGTATTTTGTAAGGTATGTTAGAAAGTTGGTTTCATTTATTTTTTAAACGTGTTAGGGTTCACCAGTGAAATCGCTAGACCAGATGCCTTCTTTGT